TCTACATTTTTTTGTTGATTTGCTTTGTTTTGCGTTTTTTTTTTTTTATGTCCAGAGGACCAGATTTAACTTTTTTAGATTTTTCTACCTGGATTATTGAGCATGCATCAGGGTAAATAATAAATCTTCATACACCAAAGTTAGTCACGGAGTTCTTCAGGGCTCAGTGCTTGGGCAATATTCTTTACTTTATATATGCTTCCATTAGGTAAAGTTATTAAACAGCATGGGATAAATTTCCTTTGTTATGCTGATGACACAGAATTATATTTCTCCATTAACCCCAATGAATCCAATCAGCTACTTAGACTACAAGCATGTCTTAAAGACATAAAAACCTGGATGACCCTTAATTTTCTCCTTTTGAACACAGACAAGACTGAGGTTTTGGTTTTTGGACCTGAGCACCTTAGGAATGAATTTTTCAGTCTTTCTCCCTCCTTAGATGACATTAATCTGTCCTCCAGCTCTAATGTTAAAAATTTTGGTGTTATTTTTGATCAGGACATGTATTTTATCCCCCACATTAAAAACGTTACTAGAACTGCCTTCTTCCTTCTGTGTAATATCACTAACATTAGAAACATCTGATCTAAAAATGATGCAGAAAAACTGGTCCATGCATTTGTCACGTCTAGACTGGACTATTGCAATGGTTCATTATCTGGGTGTCCAAATACTTCTTTAAAACGTCTTCAGTTGATCCAAAATGCTGCTGCTAGAGTCTTAACCGGAGTTAGAAGGAGAGATCATATTTCTCCAGTTTTAGTTTCTCTCCATTGGCTCCCGGTCAAGTCCAGAATAGAATTCAAAATATTACTTCTAACCTACAAAGCTCTCAACAACCTGGCTCCATCTTATATTACAGATATTACTGTTCCATATTTTCCTAACAGAGCACTTCGCTCTCAGACTGCAGGTTTACTTGTGGTTCCTAGAATTTACAAAATCAGAATGGGAGGCAGATCCTTCAGTTATCAGGCTCCTCTCTTGTGGAACCAACTTCCAATCTCTGTCCGTGAGACTGACACATTATCCAGTTTTAAAACTAGGCTTAAGACTTTACTTTTTGCAAAATCCTATAGTTATGGTTGGCTTGGGTTTCCTTAGCTGTCCTTTAGTTATGCTGCTATAGGCTTAGACTGCTGGAGGACAAACTGACCACAATTTTCACTCTGCTAAGGTCTTTACTTACTCTGCTCAACCTGTTTTGTATTTGTAATTATTTTTTCTATCCTTAACATGTGTTTTTTTGTCTTTCAGATACACCTGGATCTATACCTGGACCTACCATTCTGTGTTCATCTGTCTCTCCTTCCTGTCCTCTCAAACCAACTGGTCAAAGCAGATGGCCGCTTGTCCTGAGCCTGGTTCTGCTGGAGGTTTCTTCCTTTTAAAAGGGAGTTTTTCCTTTCCACTGTGCTTTCTCAGGATGGGAGACTGCAACGAAGCCAAGATTCAACTTGTCTGCTGGATTCCTTAGATAGAGAACTTTACTAATTGTCTTTTTTGTATGTGAATGTTTCTGTAAAGTACCTGAGACAACTTTGTTGTGATTTGGCGCTATATAAATAAACTGAATTGAAATTGAATTGGCTCACGCGATCCCGGCGAGCGACTCACGTGGTCCCGGCAGGCTACTCACGCCCCGCGGTCGACACGCAGTCCCTACGAGCGACTCAGGCAGTCCCTGCGAGCGACTCACGCGGTCCTGGCGGGCGACTCATGCCCCGTGGTCGACTCATGCGGTCCCTGCGGTTGACTCACCCAATCCCGGCTGGCGACTCACGCCCTGCGGTCGACTCATGCGGTCCCTGCGGCCTACTCATGCGGTCCTGGTGGGCGACCTGCAGCCTGGTTCTGCTGGAGGTTTCTTCCTTTTAAAAGGGAGTTTTTTCTTTCCACTGTTGCCACTGTGCTTTCTCAGGATGGAAGACTGCAACGAAGCCAAGATTCAACTTATCTGCTGGATTCCTTAGATAGAGAATTTTACTAATTGGCTTTTATGTGAATGTTCCTGTAAATTGCCTGAGACAACTTTGTTGTGATTTGGCGCTATATAAAGAAAATGAATTGAATTGAAGTGACTCACAAGGTCCGTGCGGGCGACTCACTTGGTCCCTGCGGGCTACTCACTTGGTCCCCACGGGCGACTCACGCGGTCCCTGCGGACGACTCATGCGGTCCCTGCGGGCGACTCACCCAGTCCCTATGGGCGACTCACGCGGTCCCGGCAGGCGACTCACGTGGTCCTGGCGGGCGACTCATGCCCTGCGGTCGACTCATTCGGTCCCGGCTGTCGACTCACGCGGTTCCTGCGGTCGACTCACGCGGTCCTTGTGGTCGACTCACACGGGCCTGGCGGGTGACTCACGCAGTCCCTGCAGCCTGGTTCTGCTGGAGGTTTCTTCCTTTTAAAAGGGAGTTTTTCATTTCCACTGTTGCCACTGTGCTTGCTCAGGATGGGAGACTGCAATGAGACCAAGATTCAACTTGTCTGCTGGATTCCTGAGATAGAGAACTATACTAATTGGCATTTATGTGAATGTTCCTGTAAAGTGCCCTGAGACAACTTTGTTGTGATTTGGCGCTATATAAATAAAATTAATTGAATTGAATTGACTCACACGGTCCCTGCGGGCGACTCACGCGGTCCCTGCGGGCAACTCACGCAGTCCCTACGGGCGACTCACGCGGTCCTGGCGAGCGACTCACGTGGTCCTGGCGGGCGACTCATGCCCTGCGGTCGACTCACGCGGCCCCTGCGGTCGACTCACGCGGTCCTTGCGGTCGACTCACACGGTCCTGGTGGGCGACTCACATGGTCCCTGCAGCCTGGTTCTGCTGGAGGTTTCTTCCTTTTAAAAGGGAGTTTTTCCTTTCCACTGTTTCCACTGTGCTTGCTCAGGATGGGAGACTGCAACGAGGCCAAGATTCAACTTGTTTGCTGGATTCCTGAGATAGAGAACTTTACTAATTGGCTTTTATGTGAATGTTCCTGTCAAGTGCCCAGCGACAACTTTGTTGTGATTTGGCGCTATATAAATAAAATTAATTGAATTGAATTGACTCACATGGTCCCTGCGGGTGACTCACGTGGTCCCTGCGGGCGACTCACGCAGTCCCTACGAGCAACCAGTTGAATTAGTTAGTGACCCCTGGTTTAGACCAGTCAGATAGTTTTCATCCAACCTTTATTTAGACAGGTAAATCCCATTGAGCCTCAAGGACTCATTTACAAATGGTAAATGGTAAATGGACTGTACTTTTATAGCGTCTTTCTATCTAATCAAGATACTCAAAGCGCTTTACACTACAATCATACAGCTCTCTACTAGATCTGTACAAAGCTAATTTAACAAATCATTCTAAAGAGACTAATCAGTGCTTTATCACATTCATACACTGATGGGACACACATCGGAGGCGATGAGGGGTTCAGTGTTTTGCCCATGGACACTTCGGCATGTGACTGCTTGTGGATTCGAACCCCTAATTTTTGCATTGGAGGATGACTGCTCTAACCACTCAGCCACTGCCGCCCCAAGAGAGACCAGATAGAGTTGCACCTTCTCATCTGTGTAAATGATAAGCTTGTCAACATTTTCTGGAAGGCTGGCAACAGCAATAATAGCAATAATCCATATCTTCATCTACAGGAATAAGGAACCTGTCAATCATTCAAACTGTCGACTGATGTCACCCATAGCATGACAGTGGAGTCCAAAACTATTGATGTAGATATGTCACAAAAGCACCAGCCACAGCTTATCTTAGCATCGTATTTTAGTCTTCAATCCTACAGAATGTTCCTTAATTGAGGCTGAACATCCAGCTATGGTTGTCCGAGTGGCTTGTGGGTCCCTGTCCTCTACAGTTTGCTGCTATAACTGGAATGAACACGAGATATCTGGAAAAATAATCCTCACAAGGAGAAAGTCATCTTTCAGGTACAATACAGTTATTACTTGTCATAAGTTTAATTTTAGATTTTGTGAAATGTTGTTTGCCAAAATATACATTTCTCCACATTTATGGGAGGCACAAAATAAAACAAATACAATTTGTCCAGTGGTTCATGAGATATTTGGCTAACAGACAGAAAAACACACAGGCAATTAAATTATTTACTGTCTTTCATGATGATGCACCATTATCATTCCATCATTACTATCATCTATGATCCCACCATCATTGTGTAATTAATCTAATTTACATTTTTAATCTGATTAAAATGTATTTCCTTCAGGTGATCAACAAAATATTTCATTCTGTTCTGTTCTAATCTCTTGTTACTCAGCTATAATGTAACATGTTTATAAAGATCATTCCTCCAAAAATATCAAAGAACAACTTCAGAAAGTCTGGTGAACTCTTGATTATGACCCCTTTAAATGAAAGACTAGATCATTGGACAGAAGAAATAAAGAACTGATGAGTGGATTAGGACTTTTGCACAGAACTGTAACACTACAAGTTGATGAATGAATATTAATGTGGTCAGTTTTGGTTGATTCACATGTAATAAAGACTAAAATCCTTTTATTTTAAAAAACTGTATTAAATCTGGCTACCTCTCCAGGTCCTGGTCCCTTCAATGAATACAGTATGCTAGAGTGGGCCTTCCTCACCTGTAACAGAGCAGGACACACACCCCCCCCACCACCACCACCACCACCACCGCCAACAAGCAACCCCCATCACACACTGCACACTTCCACCATTATCAGAGCATTGTTAGAGAGAAAATGCTGAAACGCTCAAAACCAAACTGTTGGCACTGCACTCTGTGCACGAGCCTCAGTGTGTGTTTCCATAGTTTTTGCACATGTTCACAGCAGATGTGTGGACAAGTGGACAGTGTGGTTTTGTGTTTAGCATATGAATGGGATGGAGGGCCTCAGCGGCTGCAGTAGAAACACTTGGAGCCTTCTGGTACCAGCCTGTGGCCTCGACTCGTCGTATTTAAGAGGCTTTGTTGAGGCCTCGCAGAGCTGACATGAACATCTTTACTAAGGTCCCAGGATTAACCCAACAAACCAGGTACGTGTAGAGCTCCAGCTGGGGCCTGACCAGCAAGCCCCCCGCCCTGGCCAGTTGTACTGATGTGAGGGTGACAGGGGCTCCACAGCTCGCCTCCTGCTGTTGGTCAGGGTCTACGCCAGGGCTATTCAACTGGCAGCCCGGGGGCCAAATCAGGCCCACGGATGAACTCAGTTCGGCCCACCAATGGGTTTATTTTAAATGAAACTAGACTTTAAACCGTAAAACAAACTTAATGACAATAACTGCTGGATGTCCGCGCCCTGAGCTCACGGCTTTCAGTACCTGTGGCCCGCTGAGCATTTCAGTTGAATACCCTGGTCTACACCCTGAAACATCTCCAGTAGTTTCTCCAATCACCTGGAAAGTGAAGATGCTGCAGGAGACAGAAAAACAACCGTCTAAAGCCCAGAAGAAAAAAATCTTGAACACAATTAATGACAATTTCTGAGTAAAAATAAAACCTGTGCGGTTTGCTGACATAAAAAAAACTTGATTTTTACAAGTTAAAACTTTCATTTTCACTGGCAGGCAAACCAGTTTGTTACACAACTGTTATGTTTTAATTTATTCTTCCAACATTGTTCTGTATCTGCAGCAAGCTGGGGTCTGTGCTCCAACGTGCCTTCTACGGGTCCAGTGGGAGGGTGAGTCCAACTGCCAGAAGACGCAGTTTTCAACGTTTTGATTTGATATTTTATGCTTCTAACTCAACTCTTCATCTGTTTGGGGGTTTAATAATATTCAAATTAATCAGTTTTTTAATTTAGTTTACTATGTGTTAGAAAACAGCAAATATTCCTTTTGTTTACAACTACTGTAAATCCAATGATGATTTGGAAATTGTTCCGTAACTGATCTTCAAGTTTGAAATATTTCGGCACAGCTTATTTATGTCCATGTGACCTTAGTTCCAGCTTGTGCTTTACGCTCTCTACCACTTGGTCCTCCTCCAAAATGACTCCACTTCTGTCGACCCTCGTCCTCATAGCATTTAGTTTTGTTTGTTTTAAGAAAAAGAGAGAAGAACTTTACCTTTTCACTTTGGACCTAACAACTCTGATTCCATAGTTCTCCCTCTAACTCTTGTTTACATCTGGGCGTTATTTGACCAACTCGTTGTCTCGGGCCAAGGCTAGCCAAAATGGACTTGTTTGGATGTAAATACACAACTCGTAATTGTTGGCAACAAAGCATTACACTCATCACTCACACTTAAATTAACACCATGGGAATGTCCTGCCATCGTTTGTGTTCTATCATACAAAGTACTTCTCAGGACAGAGACCAGTTTGGTGTTCCATTATACCACTCAGGAAGGAGATGGGTTTTGCATTCCAGCATACCTCCAGGAATTATTAGTTTCTGTGATAGGTCACAGGTGGTATGACTCCATCTGTCAAGTCTTTTGCAATATCCAAGATTTGCACGCGTTGCCTGATTTGGGCAGATCAAGTTTGAGTGCTGTTCTGTCGATTAATAGTGGATCAAGCAGCTGTGGTGCGGCTTAGGTGCAGTACAGTACACCTTGTCTCCACCTCTGCCTGGCGTATGTAACCTATTTTTAATCAAGTGCCAGCCTTCAGACCTGAAGAGACAGCAAAAATCTTGCATGTTATAAATCAGTCCAAATATTAGAATGGAGTTAGTGTACTGTATATTCTTAACTAGGAACTGAACATTTCCTTTTAGTCCCAACGTCCCACAGTCATTTGGACATTCTTGGTCATAGCTTTTTACTGAGTTTTGATGCGGTCTCCTTCATGCACAAAAATGGTGCTATCTCCTTCCATGAGTTCTTTGACTACCTTTACAAAATATTTTGACTCAAGTTTCATCTGTACGTTTGTCTACAACAATGGTAAAGATGACAACAAAGTCCATGCTCAATAATCCAGGTATAAAATCCAACATTTTTCAGTCAGGTCATCTGGACAGTTTATTTTTTTTGTGCTGAAACGTTTTGCCTTAGATCCAGAAGGCTTCATCAGTCAAGGAAACACACAACAACACAGATTCTTCCTCCAATAGCTTACACCAAAGTGGAACAAAGCAGAGTAGTTTCGAGTAAACTGTTGGAGGAAGAATCAGTTTTGTTGTGTGTTTCCTTGACTGATGAAGCCTTCTGGATCGAAGGTGAAACGTTTCAGCACAAAAAAAAAAGAAACTGTCCAGATGACCTGACTGAAAAATGTTGGATTGTAAAGATGGTTGTTTTTTCTAACAGCCTGAGCCAGCAGTGTAGTTCAACCACGTTTAGGCATAAACATGCCCTCAGCAAAATTCCAACTAATCACACAATAGTTGATGCATACATCTGCAAGTAAAAGTTTTCCTCAAACCTTTTGCACAGAATTTCTTGGAGCTTTCATGAGAGCAAAATGACAAAATGTTTGTCAGGCAACTACCTCGACGAGAGCAGAGTTCTTCAGTTCTTGCCAAGTATGAATCCAGCCTGAATTTTTACACAGAACAGTGAATTAGGATCTCTTCTATGCAGTATTATTCATAATAATGTTTTATAATAAATGTCTCAATAAAACAAGGTTAAAACCAATCTCTTAATGGAAGGAAGAATTGAAAGGAAACAGAAGGTTAATTCTTTACAGAAAGCATCACACTGAAAAGTTGTAGGTAAAGATTAATGCTGGTTATAAATCACAAACAAAGCATGGTGACTGAAACACGAATCTTATACTTGACTATAAATGTCCTGGATCTCATCTCTTTTCTTAGGTGACCCTTTTTGAGCAGCGAAACTTCGCTGGCAGACGACTGGACCTGAACTCCGACTGTCCCAGGATCAGTGACAAGAACTTTCCAGAGAGATGTAACTCTGTTCAGGTGGAGAGTGGAGCGTAAGTCCATGTTTAAAGTCTATTTAAAGTTGGCCAGAGGCTGAGCAGCACATCGCCTGAACCAGCATTGAGACAGAACTGGAAGTGTCAGAAATGAAGATGTTGAGGTTCTCCTTAGGAGAGACAAGGATGGAGAAGATCAGGGATGAGATCATCAGAGGTACAGTACAGTTGAACAACTGGGAGATAAAGTTAGAGAGGACACACTGAGATGGTTTGGACATGTCCAGAGGAGGGACAGTGGTTTGGACATGTCCAGAGGAGGGACAGTGGTTTGGACATGTCCAGAGGAGGGACAGTGGGTACATTGGTAGAAGGATGTTAGAAATGCAGCTGCCAGGAAAAAGACAAAGAGGAGACATATGGATGCAGTTAGAGAGGACGTGGAGGTAGTTGGAGTGAGGACAGAGGACACAAAGGACAGAGTGAGATGGAGGAGGATGATGGGAAATAAACAATGAGGAAATTAATGCAGAGATGTGGAAGGGTTCTAATGCAGCTCTTGCCTAATAGTCCAACACAGCTCAACTCTCTTCTCTAAACTTTCAACGTTATTCTTTAAAGCCCATCAGGAAGGTTTGGATTCTTATTCATAATCTCAGCTGGCTAAATGATGTTGCGATTTAAAAACCAAAGAAGAATAGAAAAGCGAATCGAGATCAACAGAAATGTTAAAGCTGCTAGTGGATAATTCTGGTCACCATGATAACCACACACCTGTGTCTGTCGCTGTCGGACTGCACTCCAAAATGAAATGTAGTCAGAAACACTAAGACAGCAAGTCCCAAGTTAGTGTGTGACCTCATCACACCTCAAGTTGAACATTCTGTGGTAAAACCTCCAAAACCTTTAACTTCAACTATAATTTTAAAGCAGAATATTACTTAAGAAAAACAACAAAACAAAACAAATGGGTCTTCATTTGTATCGACTGATCTGTGCCATGTTTGTGTCCATCTTTGACTCCTCATAAAGGTGGGTCGGATACGAGCATGAGAACTATCGGGGCCGTCAGTACCTGTGGGACATGTCAGACAGAGGGGAGTACACCTCCTACGACAGGTGGTGCGCTCAGGTGGACCACGTATCCTCTGTCCGCTCCATCAGACAGGTGAGACTCTGGTTCCTCTGCAGGTATTGTGCCTTGGCGTTATATAAATAAACTGAATTGAATTGAATTTAATTGAATTGAATTGTAAACTCTTCGACATTCACAAAGATAATTAGGTGCCAAAAATAAACATTAAAAAAACTGTCAAAGACCCCTTAACCTCTATCAAAACGAGACTAATTCCTCAGGCTTGAGAGGAAACAATACTGTAAATACATTTATTGGGCTTTTGAAGTTATCAGGTTGTTAGTGAAGAAAGCCACAAGTTTCCTGATTTAAACATCCATCCATCCATTATCTTTACCCGCTTATTCCATTTTGGGTCACGGGGGTCGCTGGTGCCCATGTCCAGCAATCACTGTGCGAGGGGCGGGGGACACCCTGGACGGGTCTCCAGTCCATCACAGGGCCACATGGAGACAAACGAGACAAACAACCATTCACTCTCTCACTCACACCTAGGGACAATTTAGAGTTACCAATCAGCCTAACATGCATGTTTTTGGTCTGTGGGAGGAAACCGGAGTACCCGGAGAAAACCCACGCATGCACGGAGAGAACATGCAAACTCCACCCAGAAAGGCCCCTGGACCGGGGTTTGAACCAAGGACCTGCTCGCTGAGAGGCAGCAGCTCTACCAGTTGCACCACCGTGCTGCCCCTGATTTAAACTGAATTTTCTAAATATAAAAAAAATAATAATTAAATGCTTAAAAAGGGTGACTTAAAAATGAGAAAAGAATAAAAAGACCTAGTTTGGATCTCATGTTCTCCTGTAGAAAACCTTCAGGCTATGCAGCAGATCTTTAAAGTCCTGGAAGTTCTGAGATGTGGCCTCCATGGGTCAGACTTGTTGGTACAGCACATGCAACAGACACTTGATTAGACTGACAGCCAGAGAATTTGGAGTTTACTTCCAAACTGGTTGTTGTGTTCCTCAAACCGTTCTTACTCCAGTGTGGCTGGGTGCATCAGCTAGCTGAAGGAGGGTGAGGGTGGGGGCTGGTTAACATCAGTCTTTATGGAAATGCTACTGGTCAAAGAAACATACATATGGATCAGTTTTGGTTGGTTCTGACTTCTGCAGACCTGAAGCACACCACAGATCTGCAGTTGTGAAGATGTCTTGGCCCAGCTGTCCAAGTGTGGTTCTTGTTAAAATCACTAAAATCTACACACTGTAATTATATCTATACTTCCAACTTCAAGATCAGAATATTTGCCTGCTACTTGGTTAAAATTAGTAATTTAAGATTGTATTAAATATACATTATTGCACAACAAATTCATTGTCAGAGCATTTAATATTCCAATAATCTAACTTACTTCAGATTCAAAAAGTCATTTAAAGCAGAGGAGTAAATTTATTGGTTGTATGTATGAAGGTGTTACACAGTTAGCTGTAATCAGTGATTTGTGTCTGATTTTTAGGACAACAATCCTCCCAGAGCGCAGATGTTCGAGCGAGCTGGTTTCTCCGGTAAAAAGATGGAGATCCAAGATGACATCCCCAACCTCATGAGCCGCTACAACCTCAACAGAGTCACCTCCATTCGGGTCCTCGGAGGATCGTAAGTTCAACATCCTTCCTGGACCCTCCAGAAATGTTTCCATAGCCAGATATTTTAATTTTTATCTGTTTGGTTATAACAATTTTATCCAGAAGAACTGCATTTCTGTTCTTTCTTACAGGAAACACTAAGTTTGTGTAAAATAATCAATTTATGAATTTTCCTCACAATAAACTCAATAGAACCAATTGGGATATTACGGCCTTAATCTGCTCTGTGACCTTTCTGTAAATTAGTGATGCACCGATCCACTTTTTTCACTTCCGATACCAATACCTGCGGTTTAGTGTCGGCATATACCGATCCGATACCAATCTGATACAGAAAAACTGCTGAATTCTGTTAAAAAAAAAACTCAGCGTGCTCTTTAGGGTGAAATCTCTAGAGATGCTTGATTAAGTTGGTAGTGTTATAACTGGAAATTTTAGTGACACCCCTTGGATCCATCGCTGTGCACGTATTGCCCGTAGCTGTCGAATGTGTTGGCTGAGGTAGTGTGAAATAGTTCCAGATGGCTGAGACTTTCGCTTGCTCCATTTTGAAAACCATCTATGCGGTGAGTACACTAGCGTGTGACGTCACTCAGAGCACAAAGCACAGAATTAGAGTGAATAGATCTGCCCAGTCATGGATCGGTCACATTGTCACCGATACCCGATCCAGAAGTTTTTCCCGATATCGGGACAGATACCGATATTGGTATCGGATCGATGCATCTCTACTGTAAATAGCATTAAATTGCAACAAAAATAATTCCAGAGACATTCACAGAGAAGGCATGTCCAGATGGGTCATATAATTTAAGCAGATGTACTTCAGAAGAGGCTATCACAGTGAGATAGGATGTTTCTGATTTTACTAATAGTAATTAGGTAAAACAAGGATGATCTACAAATTATTATTGTGTTCAATTTTCATTGGATTGCAAAAACATTCATCCACTTGGTAATATTTCTTGCTATTAATAGATTACCCTCTGTGAACAGTAAACAGCCATCAGGTGCTAATGATCCACTGTTAGGCTGATGGTCCTTCTTGAGCATGTGATCAGCTGGTTTTGGTTGTCAGCAGCAAACTGGTTGATCCACTCTGAGACGGTGCTATTTAAGAGACTGAGCTGAATACAGCACCTCAGACTGAGGAAGTCTCTCGGATGAGAGACGAAACGTTTCTACATTTTTTGTTGATTTGCTTTGTTTTGTTTTTTTGAATGTCCAGAGGACCAGATTTAACTTTTTTAGATTAATAGATTAACTTAATTTTATTCCCGGTTATCAATTTGAATATATATATATTGGCATGCTTCCACATTATTTATGTACTTTTATATGAAGAATGGACAGTAGTTATGCCTTACGCTCTAAGGACTGTTTGCATCTTCATGTTCTTCATGTGCAAACAGAAAAGGGCAAGAAAGCTTTTAGCTTTTCTGCCCCCTCAGCATGGAATGCCTTGCAAGCTGAATTAAAACTGACAGAACTTGTTACTTTGAGCACTTTTTGCAAACTTTTAAAAAAACAATAAATAATAATAATGTCATCACAATGTCAGCACTGTATGTTTCCATACAATGGCGAAATTAGTCTCTGCATTTAACCCATCCACCACCAGGTGGTGCAGTGGGCAGCTATTGAAAGCGCCCGGGGGACATTTTGGGAATGAGACGTGCTGCCCAGAGACGCCACGTGATGTGCAGTGACTGGGGATCGAACCTGGGACTTTCGGGTCCCAGGCCGGCTGCCCTGCCTCTATACCATCTCGGCCCCCATAAATGATATCTTGTCAACAGTGCCTGTGTTTTAGATCTTAAATTGTTATGGTTTTAAATTATTATGTATTACAGTTATTGCCATTTACTGTTATACTGTATATTTTAATTTTTTTATATATATATTTCTGAAATCTTCATAATCTTGCTACTTGTTTTGTTTTTTATGACGCGTGCTGCTGCCTGTTCTTGGCCAGGTCACCCTTGTAAAAGAGGTCTTGATCTCAATGTTTTTTAAAAAAAATCTGGTTAAATAAAGGTTTAATAAAAAAATAGATCTACAAAAATCCTTAAAATTAATGAAGCTTATTGAGAAAAAATATATTTTATATAATTCTAAAATGTATATTTTTTTCATTTTTTTTCATTTAGCCTTTATTTATCCAGGTTAGTCTCATTGAGCCACGAGAACTCATTTTCAAGAGAGACCTGTTTAGGGAGCACATGGTGGGGTTAAGGGCCTTGCTCATGGGCCCAGAGTGGGGCGAATGTGTTTCACAGTGTTTCACCTACCCCACCCACAATTTTGATGTTGTCGGGGCCGGGGCGTGAACCGGCGATCTTCGGATCACAAGCCCACCTCTCTAACCTCTGCTCCACCACTCCCCCCCATATAACTCTCCTCCTTGAATCGCCACCTTATCGTGGTAGAGGAGTTTGTGCGCCTGAATGATCCTAGTAGCTATGCTGTCAGGAGCAATTCTCATTGTCCCTGGTAGGGTCTCCCAAGGCAGATTGGTTCTAGGTGACAGGCCAGGCAAAGAGCGATTTGGAAGACTCTTATGGACAGAAATAATCAAGGAGCTCAGTGTCCCTTGCCCAGATGTGGGTTACCGAGGCCACACCCTGGAGCCAAGCCTGGTGACTCTTTGATAAGTGCTTGGTGACCAGGGCAGCTGTGTCTGAGTGGTTAGAGCAGTCGTCCTCCAATGCAAAAGTTGGGAGTTCAAATCCACCAGCAGTCACATGTCGAAGTGTCTCGGGGCAAGACACTGAACCTCTTGTTGCCTCCGATGTGTGTCCCATCAGTGTGTGAATGTGATCTAAAGCTCTGATTAGTGTATTTAAAATGATTTGTTCAATTGTGTTTCTAGATATCTAGTAGAGTGCTGTATGAATGGGTGAATGAGGACACAGACTGTAGAGTAAAGTACTTTGAGTATCTCAGTAAGATAGAAGGGCGCTATATAAGTACAGTCCATTTACCATTCCATTTAACCATGGGGCCAGGTCAGGCTCAGCCTGAACGAGTAACATGGGTTTCCCTTCCTGTGATCCCACCACATGCAAGGACCATATGAGTCAGGTGCATGATGCCATGGGTAGTGTCTGAAGGCAGGGGCCTTGGCGCTCTGACCCTGGCTTCCTAAAACAGGCTCTTGGGACATGGAAAGTAACTTCTCTGTCAGAGAAGGAGCCTGAGCTTGTGCATGGGGTTGAGAGGTACCGACTAGATCTAGTTGGCCTCACCTTGACACATATCATGGGCTCTGGAACCAATCTCCTTGAGAAGGGCTGGACCTGATTCCACTCTGGAGTTGCCATGGTGAGAAGCACCGAGCTGGTGTGGGGATTCTTGTACTCCCCTGACATGGTGCCTGTGTGTTGGAGTTTTCCTTGGTAGATGAGAGTAGCTTCCCTGCACCTTTTGGGTGGGGGGTTGGGCTCTGATGGTTGTTTGTGCATACGTGCCAAACAGCAGTTCAGAGTATCTGGCTTTATTGCTGGAAGGTGCGCCAACCGGGGCCCCCTTTATTCTGCTGGGGGACTTCAATGTACACATGGGAATGACAGTGTGACCTGGAAGTGCATGATTGGGAGGAACAGCCTCTCTGATCTGAACCCAACAGTGGTCTGTTGTTGGACTTCTGTGCTAGTCATAGTATGTTCATCACGAACACCATGTTCAAACATAAGGGTGTCCATATGTGCCCTTGGCATCAGGACACCCTAGGTCATAGATCACTGATAGACTTTATAGGGAGGTAGCTGGACTCTTCCTTAGAGATAGAGTGAGAAGGTCAGTTATTCAGGAAATACATGGAGTAAAATCGCAGCTCCTCCACGTTGAGAGGAGCCAGTTGAGGTGGTTTGGGCATGAGGTGATGCTAAGGATGCTCCCTGGGCACCTTCTTAAAGAGGTAACTCAGGCATGTCTGTCTGGGAGGAGACCCAGGACACCCTGGAGAGACTATGTCTCTCAGTTGGCCTGGAAACGCCTTGGAATCATCCCAGAAGAGCTGGAAAAGGTGGCTGTGAAAGAGATGTCTGAGTCCCCCTGATGTATGTATGTCTGTACATGTATGTCAGTATATATGTATGTACGGATGGATGGATGGATGGATGGATGGATGGATGGAAGTATATAACTCTAGAAGGGTTAGATTTATATTTTGCTAAAATTTAGCATACATTTAGCTTATTTCAGCTAAAGTTTAACTGCTTTTAGCTTTAGCATCTGTTTTTTTGCCTTAAGCTACTGTTGTGCTATTCATAGTTTTTTAGCTTGCGTTCTGCTATTTCAGCCTGTTTTGATATTTTTGCCTTTATTCTAGCTTAAACATCAAAAGCTTTATTTTAGTTTCCTCAGCAATTTTCAGCTAAGTCATTCAGCACTCATCATTCTCACTGTATCTTTTAAATAGCATTTTTCCAGTTTAAATTTAATTTACTGACTGTACTTATATAGCGCTTTTCTGTATTATGAAGACACTCAAAGCACTTTACACTACAATCTGTGCCTCATTTACCCATTCATACAGCATTCTACTAAATCTCTACAAAGACTAATCAGAGCTTTATCACATTCATACACCGATGGGACACATATCAGAGGCAATGAGGGATTCAGTGTATTGCCCAGGGACACTTCGGCATGTGACTGCTGGCGAAATCGAACTCCCAACTCTTGTATTGAGGACGACTGCTCTAACCACTCAGCCACAGCTGCCCCTAATTTACTTATTAACTTTCAGAGCCAATGAAGCTCTTTTGTAGTTTTCTGCTGAAACTTAACATCCTGACTAGGGGTGGGCGATATGGCTCAAATATAATATCGTGATATATGTCTGTACCTGCAGTTTTGAGCTGGATGGAGAGATGCAGCTGAGCCGTGCGTTGTTTGTTTTTAGCTTTTTAGGTAGCTAATATTGCACGCAACTAATTAGCGTTACGCCAGTACCGACAGATGGAGGGGGGTGCGCAGTTCGCTTTGGTCGTTCGGCGCGCTCGGTTCTGTTAACGGGGCAGGGCACTTGATGTATTACGTCATGAAATTAGTATATCATGATAGCATTTATTTTCCCCGGGCAAGCTTTTTTTACTTGTATTATCATGAACAATATTATATGGCCCAGCCCTAATTCTAACCACTCTGACTGTTGTTCTGGTGTTGCAGCTGGGTGGTGTATCAGGAGCCCAACTATAGAGGTCCTCATTATGTTCTGGAGAAACGAGACTACAACAACTTCTCTGACTGGGGCAGCCAGAACAGCACCGTGGGCTCAATGCGCAGAGTCCGCTTCAACTAAACAAAACCAAAAAACTGGCGGAACCTGTTAACTTTACAATCAAATAAAGCCTTTTTTTAGTAATAAACTTGAACTTGTCTTTGTTATTGTCTGCTGCCTAAAACTAAGTGTATGCAAATATTTGACTGTTACCAAAATATCTCATAATCCACTGGATGAATTTTAATGAACCTCAGAGAAAAATCATGGGATTTACATCTACAACTGATTATCTTAGGAATCAATTTGATTTAAATTGGCTTCCAAAGCCAGCTGACCTTAAAGAACACAGTGGGTGTACCTCAGTCAGTTTTTAAACCTTTATTTTACCAGGAAGAAACCCCTTGAGATTATAAATCTCTTTTACAAAGATGTCCTAGGCTATATGGTAAATGCTAAATGGACTGTAAAAACATACATTACGGCAAAGACTGGTTCATCCCAAAGATCCAGTCCCCCGGCACAAACAGAGTAATGTTGTGTATGCTGTTCAGTGTCAGGAGGGCTGTGATCAGTCTTACATCGGGGAAACAAAACAGCCACTGGCCAAAAGGATGGCCCAGCACAGAAGATCAACATCATCAGGCCAGGATTCTGCGGTCTACACTCATCTCCAGGCCAGCGGTCACTCTTTCAAGGATGAAGATGTTCACATCCTGGACAGAGAGGAACGATGGTTTGAGAGAGGAGTAAAGGAGGCCATCTTTGTGAAAAGAAATCGTCCATCATTAAACAGGGGTGGAGCCTCCGGGTTCAACTGTCCCCCTCTTACAATGCTGTGATTGCTAGTATCACTCAGCCCTCTGTGAATAGTAAACAGCCATCAGTGTGCTAATGATCCATTGTTAGGCTGATGGTCCTTCTTGAGCATGTGATCAGCTGGTTTTGGTTGTCAGCAGCAAACTGGTTGATCCACTCCAAGAAGGTGCTATTTAAGAGACTGAGCTGAAAACAGCACCTCAGACTGAGGAAGTCTCTCGGATGAGAGACGAAACGTTTCTAGATTTTTTTTTGCTTTGTTTTGCTTTTGTTTTTTTGAATGTCCAGAGGACCAGATTGAACTTTTTTGGACTGTAAAAAGTACTTGTTTGGCTCCTTTCTATCTTATAGACATACTCAAAGCTCTTTACACTACAATCTGTGCCTCATTTACCCATTCATACAGAACTCTACTAGATCTCTACAAAGCTAATTGAACAAATCATTCTAAAGAGACTAATCAGAGCTTTATCACATTCATACACTGATGGGACACACATCTAAGGCAATGAGGGGTGTCTTGCCCAGGGATACTTCATCATGTGACTGCTGGTAGATTTGAACCTCCAACTCTTGCATTGGAGGACAACAACTCTAACCACTCAGCCACAGCCACCCAAATACAGCAACACAGTCTTAAAAACAGTAACAGTAGTATTAAAATATTTATTAAAAAAAAACATCCATTAGAAAAACAAACAACACAATGTGTCAGGGTTTTAGACAGGTCAGGACAGGAGAGAACCCAGTTGAGCAGGCAGGACTCAGGAGGCAGACGTACAAAATAAAATACTTTAATAATAATAATAAATCAAAAGGCTGACATAGCAGCAAACTAACAAAATAGGGTCAGGACTGGATCAGACAGGATCAGACAATACCCAACGACGAACTGACAAAGGACAAGACTTACAGACAGACTATATACACAGACAGGACATGACATAATTACAAGCACCTGGAACGAGGGTGAAATTAATTGGATAATTGATGAGACACACAAGGGAGTACAGACAGAGAAGGCCCACAAGATGGCGCCATCCCAGTGTTTCCCCTACCATTATACAAGAGGGGCATCCCGCCCCGTCAACAGAACCAAGCGCCCCATCTACCAAACCCCACCCCCAACCACCTGTCGGCACTGACGTAACGCTAAACTAGCAGCTCGCAATGCAGGTGCACTTGTAATGTTTGTGTCCCTTTTTTACTACCTCAGCCTGTCTAGTTTCATGTTTTCTCCTGCCAATTGTTTTCTGTCCTGTCAATCACTCAGTTCATGTGCCTGCACCATGCCTCCTCTCCCATCAGCTTCATTCATCGCACCTGTGCACCTCCATACTTAAGCTCCCTGTTCACCCTCATTCAGTGCCAGATTCTCGAACCTCTCTGAGCAATAGAAATCTAGCACTACTTGTCTTTGCATCCTACCTAGTTCTGAACCCAAGCCTGTTTTCTGACTACCCGACCAGCCTGCTCCCTTTTGGATTTTGTCTGCTTCAGTCCTCTTGGTTATTACTCTGCGCCTCCACACCGACCACAATTCAAGATCACGTTTTTGGATTTATTCTGCTCTCTGCCTCCCTGTGCTCAAACCCTGCTACCCATCTTGGACCCTGGAACTGGATTTGCCCTTATTGGACCTGTACGCCTTCTGTTTGCTCCGCTGCTGCTGTTCACTCTGCATGAGTGACGTCATCGGCTCCAGCGAGACTACAGCTCCTGTTATTCCATCAAGACAGAAGATCGGACCCAGGCCCGGACCCAGACCTGCACCTGAAGCTGTTTATTTCCTAATAAACTTTTTTTTAAACCATTTCTGTGTTGGGTGTTGATGTGCCGATCCAAACTGGTTCTTGACAGTAGAATCTGGCCATTATGGATCCAGCACCCACCCAGGAATGGCACACGGTGTAGAAGGGGCCATAAATAAACTTGAAACTAATATGCAGGAAATGATGGAAATATTAAGAGCTATGTCTCAACAAAATCCTTGTTTGAACTCTGCTCATTCTTTCGTTGTCCAGGCTGCTGCTCCTCATGTCCCCACTCCTTCTCATGAACCTCGTTTGTCTCCCCCTGAACTTTTTAAAGGAGATCCTGATCAATGTCGACCATTTCTCACACAAAGCGAGATCCACTTTCAGCTGCAGCCTTCCTCTTTTCCCACTGAACGAGCCTGGGTGGCCTACGCAATCTCTCTACTGGCAGGTAAAGCCAAGTCGTGGGGCACTTCTGAGTGGCAAAGAAACTCCAGAAGTTGTCACAGTTTTGCTGAGTTTGCTAAGGAGTTATGTAGGGTTTTTGATCCCCTGCTACCAGAGAGGGAGGCCGCACATCAACTTTTTTCTGTAAAACAAGGAAATTAACGAGTCACCGAATATATTATTGAATTTCATGCCATTGCTGCTGGAAGTCGTTGGAACGAGGAGGCCTTAACTGATGCTTTTTTCCAGGGTCTTAATGACACTATTAAAGACGAACTTGCAACTCAGAATTACCCGGAGTCTCTTAAGAGCTTGGAGGACCAGACCATGCGCGTTGACCTGCGCCTTCGGGAAAGAGATCAAGACAGAGGGTACAGAGCAGCGAGGAGGCCAAGACCCTGGGTTGAGTCACAAGTTTTCTCTAAAGAGTCTCATGTGGTACCTATTTCCAATACCTCACAGACCAAAGAACCTATGCAGCTGGGCAGGAGCTGACTCACCCCAGAGGAAAGGGAGAGAAGAAGGAGACGGCACCTCTGTTTTTACTGTGGTGCAGGTAACCACACAATTGTGAAGTGTTTGTTAAAAGATCAGACTCAACAGGTAAGAGGAGATGCCTGTTGAGTCAGACCAATACACCCAGGATCTCCTCCCCTTTCATTGTGCCAGCAGAGATCCAAGTACCCGGTAAGAGACCAAGATCGGTATCAGCCGTCATTGACTCAGGGGCAGATACTGAATTCATTGACCACCAATTCGCACTATCTATGGGCATTGAATTACTCCAGTCTCCCAAGTCACACAAAGTTCTCACTCTGGACGGTTATTCTCTCCATGACTCGAACCTTGAGACCACGCCCGTCACTTTGTTATTAAGAGGCAATCACAAAGAGAACTAAAAGTTTATTGTAATTAACTCTCCACACCTCCCTATTGTACTGGGTTCGACCTGGCTTGATAAACACAACCCACATATTAATTGGAGAGGAAAAGAGATAGTGGGTTGGTCAGAAGAGTGTCTATCCACCTGTCTTTTCGAGGCGATTCTGCCTTCTGTCAGTCCTGAAAATATTACAGAAACTTATCCTGACCTCTCCAAAGTCCCTGCTGAGTACCAAGATCTCAAAGAAGTATTTAACAAAGTCAAAACCACTTCTCTTCCTCCACATAGACCCTATCAGAATCAGAATCAGAATGCCTTTATTGTCATTATACGCAGTACAATGAAATTAAGAGCCACTCCTTTTTTCAGTGCAAAAACACACCTTAAGAAAACACACACTAAACACTAAACACACACTAAAATATAAAAAATGTAACGCAATATAGATATAATAAAGAAAGTAAAAAATAAGTTATATTGCACATTATGGATATTAGTGAGGTAGTTAAGGTGACTGAGGGTATGAAATGTCAGTAGTATTGCACACTAGAAGTCCAGGGGTTTGGGAGGTTAGAATATTAAATCAGTGCATGTGTGAGTTCAGTGTGGTGATGGCTTTCGGGAAAAAACTGTTCTTGAATCTGTTTGTTCGTGTTCTGATGCACCTGTAGCGCTTCCCTGAAAGTAGCAAGTCAAACAGTTCAAAATCCGGGTGTGAACAGTCCTTGATTATGCTTTCTGCTCTGTTGAGGCAGCGTGATGTGTAAATGTCCATCAGGGAGGGGAGAGGGCAGCCAGTTATCTCTTGTGCTGTCTTGACTACTCTCTGAAGCCTCTCCCTGTCAGCCAGGGTGCAGCTGCTGTACCATACTGAGATACAGTATGTCAACAGGCTCTCGATGGACGATTGGTAGAAGGTCAGCAGCAATTTGGTGTTCAGGTTGTGCTTCTTAAGGACTCTTAAGAAGTGTAGTCTCTGCTGAGCCTTCTTGATGACCGCTGTGGTGTTCTCTTTCCAGTTAAGGTCAGCAGAGATATGGACACCAAGAAATCTGAAAGTATGAACCCTCTCCACGCACTCGCCATTGATGGGAGGCGGGCCGTGGAGTTGGCCCCGCTGAGCTGGGGAGCGACGGTGTGGGGCTGCTGCGGAGACCTTCTGCCGGGGTTGTGCCTGCTTTGGAAGGCGGGAGTTCGGGTCTGCTGCCGTTGGGTCTGTGTGCCGCTGGAGGCTGGTCTTCG